AGGGGCACGAACCCCGATGAATAACGCTGATGTCTATGATCCTCCTCGCTCAGGCGGGGCCTACATGGAGGCGTGGGAAGGTAACAAACCCTGATACATAACATGGTTTTCGAATACCCTCCTCGCTCAGGCGGGACCTCGGAACCTGGTAACTAAAATGGTTTTCGAATCCCCTCCTCGCTCAGGAGAGGCCTCCTGGAGGAGTGGGAGGGGCACGGAACCTCAAACGTAGCATGATTGCCGAATCCCCTCCTCGCTCAGGCGGGGCCGCCCTGAAGGAGCGGGAGGGGCAAGAAACATGATAAATAACATGGCTGTCGAATACCTTCCTCGCTCAAGCGGGGCCTCCCTGGAGGGGTGGGAGGGGCACGGAACCTGATAAATCCTTTCGCTTTCGAATACCATCCTCGCTCAGGCGGGGCCTCACTGGAGGAGTGGGAGGGGCACGAAACCTGATAAATAACATGGTTGTCGAATACCTTCCTCGCTCAGGCGGGGCCTCCCTGGAGGAGTGGGAGGGGCACGAAACCTGATAAATAGCATGGTTGTCGAATCCCCTCCTCGCTCAAGCGAGGCCTCCCTGGAGGAGTGGGAGGGGCACGAAAGCTAAAACCAAACATGGTTGTCTAGTATCCTCCTCACTCTGGCGGGGCCTTCCTGATAGAGTGGGAGGGGCACGAAACCTGATAAATAGCATCGTGTTCGAGTCCCATCCTCGCTCAGGCGGGGCCTTCCTGGAGGAGTGGGAGGGGCACAAAACCAGATAACATGGTTCTTGCATACCCTCCTCGCTCAGGCGGGGCCTCCCTGGAGAAGTGGGAGGGGCACGAAAGCTCAAACATAATATGGTTTTCGAATATCTTCCTCACTCTGGCGGGGCTTTCCTGGAAGGGTGGAAGGGGCACGAAATCTTGTAAATACGGTGGTTCTCCGATAAGGTCCTTGCTCTGACGTGGCCTCCCTGGAGTGGTAGGTATGGTATGGTAGCTTCGATATGGTAGTTGTGGTATGGTGTGGTAGGTATGGTATGGTATGGTAGGTATGGTAAGTATGGTTAGTCTGGCATGATATGGTAACTATGATATGGTATGGTAGATTTGGTACGATAAGCATGGTAGGTGTGGTATGTTATAGGATGGGATGGTTGGTATGGTATGGTATGGTAGGTGCGCTATGGAAGTATGGTACGGTGGGTACATATGTGTGGGATTGGTATGGTAGGTACGTATTGGTATAGTATAATAGGGAGGCGGGAGAAGGAGCAGGAGAAGGATGACAAGAAGAGGGTGTTCTAGAAAAACAAGAACCCCATTCAGGATGTGGGGAACGAGAACACCATTCAAGATGTGGGGATAACTAATGGTAATAATAACACGAATAGCAGTAATGAAGATCAGGTAAGAAGAAACAGAAACAGAGGGAGAGGATAACAACAACAACACCACCAACAACAACAACAACAACAACAACAACAACAACAACCACAACAACCACAACAACCACAACAACAACAACCACAACAACAACAACAACAACAACCACAACAACAACAACAACAACAACAACAACCACAACAGCAACAACAACAACCACAACAACAACAAAAACAAAAACGACGGCGCGAACCCTGGAAGGGAAGCCGCCCCGCTCGCCCCGACCCTGGCGAAACGAAAAGACGCCGATGAGGCTACCCCACCGACCTCTCCTGGGGCCCGCTCTGACCAGGATTTCGGGGCGAATCCAGCCGTCGCGACGAGATACGAGTAGTGGTATCGCTATCTTCCCAGACGTGCGGCGTTCCAATTCTTCCGATGCGTGGACTCCTGGAGGTCTGGACCATTTCCCCGAGGCCAGCTATTCGTCCTGAACCGTTTTTGGAGGGTCCCCGGGAGGCCGAACATGACCCAAAAAACGACCGTTCCAACGTTATTGTAGGAGCATCGGGATCTCTGGTTTTCTTCTTTTGGGACTCGGCGGCAAGCGAGGAGGGGAGTGAGAAGCAGAGGGCCCTCTCAGAAGGCGGCGGGGCTTCTCAGAAGCCACCTTTCCTTCTCAGAAGTTCCCTGCGTCTTCGGGGAAAGCTTAGAAAACTTCCCAGAAGGCCAAGGGACTTCCGAGCCTTCCGAGAAGGCCCGCACCTCCTCTCTTCCCCCCCAGGCTCGCCGCCGAGGCGTCCTGCTCAGAATCCCTAGGGGAACCCCGGCGCGACGACGTGAGGCCCCTCGAAGCCCCAAAAAATGCCCAGAAATCGACTGGGGGATCGACTACAGAATTGATTCACCCCAAATATTGATCTTCGCGTCGACTCTTCAGCAAAAATACGTCAACCATTCGTAGATCTGGGAAAGTTCTACGACTTCCCTGTGGACTCGACAAGACAAATCAATCCTGGGGCAAATCAATTCCATAGTCGACCCCCTACTCGAAGAAACTTCGAACGTCGACGTCCGGTCCCCAGCCCCAGGCCCCCGGTCTCCGGGCTCTGCGGAGACAAGAAGCGACCACAACCACATCGAGAACACATCCTTGGGGATGTCTTGCGCATGCCGAAAATTCGTCGGAACACCGAAACCAGCTTCGCACTGATGTGGCGTCCCAAGACGGCAAAATCGACCACAACCACAACCAAAGTGCCGAGGGGCCCTCCCGAAAAATCCACTTGGCTGTGGTTGTGGTTCGCTGCTGTGCCCCGAGGCTCACCGCCGAGAGGCCCCCCCCCCGCCCCGCGCGCCGACCCGCCGAGCGCAGGCGGGCCCACGGGCACCCGGAGCCCGGCCAGGCCAGGCCTCGGAGGCGCGCCGGCGGCCTCCCTCCCCCGAGCGTGGCCTCGCGGCCTGGCCGGGAGCCGACTCGGCAGGCGAAGCTCCCTGGCGTTAGGTCGGGCGTGTCCCCCTGCAGGCGGATTTTGGACGAAAAGTTAAAAATAGCCCAAAAAGATATTATATATTAGTCAAAAAATCGTCCCTGGACGACTATCTGTGAATATTCATTCCTCCTGTAAAACGCCATGCCCGACTTAACCCTGGCATCGTCGCGCCACGAGAGGAGCGCCAGTCGGCGGCGCGCCCGGGGGGGGGGAGCGGGATGGAAAAGACCCTCTCAGAAGGCGGCGGGGCGTCTCGGAGGCCCTCCGGACTTCTGAAACGTTTTGTGTCATCAGGGAAGGCTCAAAGGACTTCTCAGAAGGCTCGGGAATTTCCGAGCCTCTGAGAAGGCCCACCCCCTCTCACTGCCCTACAGGGCTGGCCGCCGAGACTCGGCAGGCAAACCTCCCTAGCGTCGTCGCGCCACGGGGGAAGCGCCAGGACAGCGTCGATGACCAACCACCAGACCACCACGACCCGACCCGAAGACTCAAATCTCGGGTGGGGGGGGGTACGGGCTCCAATGGCGGTTTTCCAATGTGCCCCGACGCCCCCCTCCAAATGCGAATGGAGGGCAAATTGGGGTTTTGGGTTGGGTTGGGGTGGTTTGGCGGGTGATGACTTCGAGTAGGGGATCGACTACGGAATTGATCTGCCCCAGAATTGATGTCTTGTCGAAACCACAGGAAATTCGTAGAACTTTCGCAGACCCAGACCTACGAATGCTTGACGTATTTTTGTTGAAGAGTCGACGTGAAAATCAATTTTGGGGTAAATGAATTCCGTAGTCGATCCCCTACTCGAATGACTGGCAGTCGTCGCGCCACGGGGGCAGCGCCAGGACAGCGTCGATGGCACGCCGCCGTTGGGAGCCCAAGGCCTTTGGGCAGGGACGAAGACGCCACTCGCTGACGGGCCCCCGACGGCGGCGTGCCATGCATAATCCCTTTCCCTCCCTCCCTCCCTCCTCCCTCCTCCTCTCCCCTCCTCTCCCCTCCTCTCCCCTCCTCTCCCCTCCTCTCCCCCTCCTCCTCCTCCTCCTCCTCCTCCTCCTCCTTCTCCTCCTCCTCATGCTCCTCCCCCTTCCTCTCTACCTCCCTCTCTCCCTCCCGCCCTCACTCCCGGACCAAGAGGAAAAAACTTGGCCTGCATGCCTCTCGTTCTCCAGACCAGACAGAGATCATACGCGAGGCATGCTGGCCACGTCGCAGGATAATCAGCACAGAAACTGGGCCTTGCGTCGGGCCAGCGATCGCATCGAAAGCAGCGCTCCCACTGCGAATACTCGCATCGATTCCCAAGCTTGCGTCGTGGGCGTCTCCCCTCTGGGAGACCCAAAGGTACTGATACCGCAACTCCCTGGACTTCGCCAGGGGCACATTCTGACCAGGACTTCGAAGCGAATCCAGCACTGGCGATGAGGCCCTCACAGGAGGCCCAAAAAGGGGAAAACGAAGGAGGGATAGCGATTGGTAACGTTTCCTCCCGAGACCCTCGCCCAGCCCCTGGCCGAAGTCCGCTCGAACCTGGTCCCCAGACCCCTCCCTGGGCCCCGGGCCCCTAACAACGGCCCGGTTGTGTGCGGGCCGTAGCTGGCCGTGGCCACGAGGGAACCCCCAGGGGTGGGGATCCTCGCTGCGGTCTCCCTCCCCTGGTTGGACCAGACGCCGAACGACACCAGCCCACCTACGACCCAGCGATGTTGGGAATTGAGGCACCTGCCCACCTACCACCACTCACGACCCGACCCACCTGCGACCAACCTACGGCCCAGCGGGCCGTGGGTGGGGTGGTGCCGATCTTCTGTTGGTCGACTGACGTCCTCGCGTCGTGAAAAAAACACAACGGAAGGGTGTCGACAACGATCCGCCCTCGGGGGCATTTTTTTTAATTTTTTTTTGGGGGGGGGCAGGCCCTGGGGCCAGGCCCTGGGGCTGCCAAAAAAACGACTCGGGACGAAGAACCGATCAGCCGGACGGGGCCTGGACCTCTGGGGAGCCCCCCTCGGGCGCCCCAGCCGGCCTGGGAAGCGCCCCGGCAAGCAGCTACCCTCGGGCGCCCCCCGCCACCCCTGGCCAGCGTCCTGGCAGCTGGCGGGGGCCTGGTGGTTCTGGCAAGTTTCCCTCTCCCGTGTTCCTGCAGCTCCAGGCTGCTGCCCGCGCGGGCGCTCTCGAGGGCGGCCAGCCTGGCGGCGCGGAAGGGGCGCGCTCGCCGTGGGGACGGAGCTGCGGCCGTGGTTGGCCCGTGGCAGCAGTGGTGCCACGCGCCTGTGCGAGCCGACGAAGACAACGACTAGGATCGAGTTCGAACAGAGCCGAGGTTTCTCACAGTTTACGGCCCCGTTGACCTCCTGGGGGCCTCCACGAGCCTCCAGGAGTCCAAAGGACCGTCGGGCGCGCACCAGCGGCGAAGCAGTGAGCTCGCGGGTCTACGTGCCACGGTGACGCAGCGTGCGAAACAAACAGTTTGCGACGAGAGTCCGATGTCCGAAGCGAGGCAATATGACGTGCGCTGGCGACAAACAGAACTCTTTTTTTCGATGGCACTTCGCGCTGTGAGAACCGCAAAGTGCCGTTGTCTTAGAGCTGTCGCGCGACTCATGGGAGAATGGCGGCTGTGGATAAGGAGGGCGAGGAGGACGGAAAAGAGAAAGGGGAGGAGAAAGAGAATGACGAGGGAAGAAATGAATGGATAACAACACAACGTAGAAGACAGGCAAGACGCAGAAAGGCCCCGAGGCTATGCATTTACGAGAAAGCTGACAAGACGCAAGGGCCTGGACATAATTTATAGAACAGGCTGTACGACACAAATGAAACGAAACTAAAGAAGAATCGATAATTTGAAAAACATGTTTCTTAATTTTCTGAGGGCCCAATAGACAGAAATATACAGTCCACCGGGTCTAGGATGATGCAGGCCTGGAAATAATGATCACCAGACAATTAAGATTACCATTCACCACTTTCATAAACAATAGACGCTGCAAAATTTATGTGAATTGGCTGCGAACCTGGAACGACAACAATCCCAACGACAACAAGGTCCAAATGAAAGTATACTACCATCCCACGGGAAGACAGTCGAAAAACAACGAAGTGCAGACAGACTGACCAATCGAAACACGCAAACAATGACCCAAGGACGTGCCCAACACACTCGCAACGTTTGGCATCTTCTTGGGGGACGAGTGCAATTGAACTGGTACTGAGCGCTACTTCACTGGACGCCCAAAGCGGCAGGACAGTGACGACGATTGCACGCTTGGCAACACCCAAGGAGGCGAGGTCAAGCGCGGGACGGGGGTACAGGACAACGACACGCGCACGCCCAGCAACACTCATAAAGGCCAATACGCATTCGGATGTTTGCGGGAGAACACTCAGCTGAACCCATTGGGGGCGCAGAAACGAAACGACTGGCAGCATCAACGCTGAACGAGGGTAGTGATGATGTGTGAACGAAGGTAACAATTGTTTTTGCGTCTGGCGTTACTTCTATGCACCAGCACACACAAACGCACCACTCCGCTGGACCAGCCAGGGGCGTAACAAACAGGCAACGAACATGCGAACGCGATCGCCAGATTTGTTGTTGCGTTCCTGTTCAAAGGGTATCTGGGTATACAACATATTGCCGGATTGTGTCGTTGCTGCTCCAGCAGTGAAAGATTTTCAACATTTGTTGGCGGATCTGGTCAAAACCAGGGCCACGAATGGGTGCGCGGACTGGAACGTCACGCTGTCATGGCGAATCCTTATGGCTTCCCACCCACTTCGGGCTTGGAAAGACTGGGAACCATGATGCGGCCGATCCGGGCAAGCTTCAAAGCAAGCGTAACATATGTTTTTTTTTAACCCTCAGAAATTTGATCACGGTTCTTATTATGTATCTTCCTGTTTCTCTCTCTCTCTCTCTCTGCCGTTCCCCTCCTCTTGCTCGGCTCCTCCTCCCTTCTGCCGGTTCCGAACAGCGCTCGCCCGCGGGCGGATTCTGAGCGGTGCTCGGTCCGCAGGCGGTTTCTCGCCGGCGCGTCCAGCGCCTTCCCTCTTCTTCTCTTCCTCGCTCCTCCAGGTTGCCTTACCCTCTTCCCTCTCCCTTCTCTCCCGGGTTCCTTTCGCAGGTCCTGAGCGGCGCTTGGTTTGTTGTACATGTTGTCCTACATGTGAATCATTATATATACATAAAACATTCTTAGTTGTTTGACATTATTATGTACAGCTGTATGTATATAAGCATACACATATACATATGGGTATAAACATATATATATAAATATATCGACAACACTCACACCACGACTTGCAGAAGAATTAACTCGTGAGTTGATATTTTCCTCTCGGCTATGCGCATCCATCGAAAGAAAAGAACTAACTCGCGAGTTAATACTTTCACATGCTTCAAACAACACAAAAAGTATTCACTTGCGAGTGGTAGTAGTAGTAGTACTAGTAGTAGTAGTAGTAGTAGTAGTAGTAGTAGTAGTAGTAGTAGTAGTAGTAGTATTACTGGTAGTAGTTTTAGTAGAAGAAGAAGAAGAGTCGTAGTGTAATACTACTAGGTAGTAGTAGTAGTAGTAGTAGTAGTAGTAGTAGTAGTAGTAGTAGTAGTAGTAGTAGTAGTAGTAGTAGTAGTAGTAGTAGTAGTAGTAGTAGTAGTAGTAGTAGTAGTAGTAGTAGTAGTAGTAGTAGTAGTAGTAGTAGTAGTAGTAGTAGTAGTAGTAGTAGTAGTAGTAGTAGTAGTAGTAGTAGTAGTAGTAGTAGTAGTAGTAGTAGTAGTAGTAGCAGTAGTAACAACAACAACAACAACAGTAGTAGCCGTTATCCCTCTCTCCCTTCCCTTCTTCCCTCTCTCTCCCCTTCCCTCCCCCTCCGTTTTTCCTTGCGTGCTGCTGTCGTCGCTGTCGTCCGCCGTCGTCCTCCTTTCCTCGGTTCCTCCACCCTCTCCGCTCCCTGCTTTTCCGCCACCCGTCCGCTCTTCCTCGCCCCCTCCTGCTTGTTCTGCTATACTGTTCCCTTCCTCACCCTCCGTCTCTCTCCTCGCCCCCCTCTCTCCCGCTTCTCTGCTCTGGCCAGCCGTGATGTTTTGGCACGATCCCGAAGTTTAGAAAATGTTTTTGGGGGGGGCTCGTCTTCCTCCCTTCCTCTTCTTTCCCGAATTGCTTAAAGCTATCAATGTACCGCCAGAGACATTCAAAACGCACTGCGATGACTGGTTCAGCGCGCCGACCCTGCGCGCGAACTCGTGATTGTCGGCTGCGGCCATCACTGGAGACTTTGCATTATGCACACGGGCCTCGAGCCCGAAAGCGACGACGCCCACAACGGCTGACAGCGCCAGGAAGCCCATCAAGAACACGGTGCATTCGAAGAGGTAATGCCGCACCTGGCTTACGGTGCGCACCAACCAGCCGCGTGCCGACGGCGGCATCCTCCAGTCGGAATCGAATTCGTGGTACTCGACCAGGTTGATACGCGATCCCCCAGGCCTTGCCTCGCCCGGAGTCTCGCCGTCGGCGCCTATCACCATGCGGGGCGCGAGCAGCTCGGCAGCGCGGTCGGCGCGCTCCTGCTGGTCGGTGGCGTGGCCGCCGTCGAAGTTGAGCACGAGGGCATGGCCGTCGCCGCGGCCTCCTTTCAAATTGCCCCTGCCCCCACGGCCTTTGCCAGCGCCCTTCTCTTCCATCTTCTTCTCGAGAAACTCCTCGGCCTCCTTCGCGCCCTTCTCTGCGTGGCAGAGCGCGCGGTGGCGGCCGAAGTGCCCGAGGCCGCCGCGGGGCTTCCCCTTGCCCTGGCGCTTGCACCAGCATTGCCATGGGACGCCGCCCTCGACGCACTTCGAGACATCGAAGCCCTGCCCCTCGCCGGCCTTCTGGTTCGGATAAATTGAGCACTCGGGGCGAGTCCCCTTGCACCGGCTGCAGTCGCCAATACCTGCTCGCAAGCTCTTGTCGCCCTTGTGCCCCCCTTTGGCGGGCTCCCGCGCGGCCTGCCAACAGGCGTCTAGCGGCTGGGCCGTCGGCGTCGGCGGCGGTCGCGCGCCTGCCGCAGCCTGCGTCAGAAATGGACTCGATGATCTGCTTGGCCTTGGCGAGCTCCTCCTGCTCTGGCTTTTTGGCCTACTTCTTAGCTGCAGCCATCGCCTTCGGATCCTCGGGGCCCACCACGACATTGGTCGACGCCTATATCTGGCCTGGCTTGGCGTCACCAGCCCCGAGACCCACGCGCGCACAGGCGCGCACGAACTGCCGGCAGCGGCCAAGAATAGCCACGCCAGAGTCCTCGTCGCCCCTGATCGCCATTATCTTCGGGAACGTCGGAAGGTTCAGCAAGTGAGCGATCAGCGCGGAGCCCTCGATCTCCGTTTTGCACTCCTCGACCCCCCCATCAGCACGGGGCCCTCGGAGTCGTCGGCGAGAAGACCGTGCCTGATCATGTCGGCGCGGGCGGCGGTGCACTCGTTCGGGAACTTGGCGACCGAGCGAGAGCCTGGAGCACTTCCGAACCGCCCCGTTCGCCTCGCGCTCGTCGTCAAGGTGCACCGAGACCTCCAGGCGCCTGACGCACTTGATCCAGATCGCCTCCCAGCGCGGGTTGGACCGCTCCTTCAGCAGCGCCTGGCACGCGCCCTCGCGGCCCAACTCGTCATCAATCTCGATATTTCCCGCGCCCTCTGCGATCGCTCGAGCGCCCTCAATCCAGATGGCCTTGTTTGTCTGGCGAGACTCGTTCTGGTAGATCTTGAACACCTCGAGCTGCTGCTTCAACGTCGCGGCGTCGGAAGCCGTCAAGACTAGCATCGCCGGCATCAGCTTCGAAGACGACTCCCGCTGAGCCTCTGCCAAGCTCCCCTGAGCTTGCGTGAGCCCAGCCACCAGCGCACGCTGCTCCTCGGCGCCTGCACGCCGCTGCCCGGCCATCTGCTGCATGAACGCCAGCATGGCCCCAACAACGCATGCGTCTGGCGATGGCGTACTCGGAGAAGAAGCCGGGCGCGCTGCAAGACCTGGCGGCGGCTGAGGGCACGCAGCCCCAGCGCGGCCTGCGAAGTCGAAGTCACCCTCGAAGTCCCCCTGCCCGTCCTCCAGCGGCGCCTCGCCCTGGTCCTCGGCGGACTGCAGCTGGACCAGCTCCTGGGCAGCCCTCTGCCAGCGCAGCCTTCTTCGCCCGCAGCTCCCTGGCCTCA